CTTCAGGGTCCAGGCCACTCTGATACCATCGGTGCCCCGTATTGTCAGACTAGGGGGAGGCGTATTGGGAAGGAGCCAGAAGTACCTATGAGAGAACTTTCAAATATATTTGTATTGATTTCAGCGAGGAAGGGAGAGGGAGAGAGAGAAACACCATTGATGAGAGGCAGTCATGGATCAGCTGCCCCCGGCATGCCGATAGTAGGGATCGAGCCCGCTACCCAGGCTCGTGCCCTGACCGGGAGCCGAACGCTGACCTCCTGGTTCTAGGTCAGCGCTCATCCACTGAGCCACACCGGCTGGGCTCTGAGGGAATTTTCCAACTTTCTTTGAGAAGAGAGATGAGAACAGATGGTTACAAGGTCCGCCAGGAAAGGGGCCGAGGGCCAGCGCCCAGGGCCGCGTCTCGGGGCTGCCGTGTGGGCCACGTGGTGGACGGAGACATTCCCCTCTGACACAGCCCTGGCCTTACTGCATTTTAATTGTTGGTCTCTGTCCTCCTCCAGGGCAGGGCCTGGATCTTATTCATCTTTGCATCCCAGTATCAGCACAGGACCTGACATATTCATACGATGACAAAATACTGAGCGTCAGTTCTGTGCCGGGCTCTCGGCACCCAGAGATACAGTGAAGGTCATGTCAGACAGGTCAACCTCATGCAGCTAATTCAGGTGACAAACCCGATTCCACACCACAGCTCCGGGGCCGGGGGCCGTGGGCCGTGGCTCTGGGGCCGGGAGGGTTTTGGGGCATTTTCTTTCTTTCTGAGGAGCAGTGAGGGGAGGAAAGGCAGGTGAGTGGGGGGCGGACAGTCCGGTGGTGACGCCGTGGGGACCGGTGCCCAGGCCCGGCGTGGCCTGCAGGTGCCTGGCTTTTACTCGCGTGTGAATGACTCTCACCATCTCACAGGTGGAGGGATTGACCGAAGGCGCATCCTATGAGTTCAAAATCGCTGCCAGCAACCTGGTGGGCATCGGGCAGCCCTCGGACCCCAGCGAGCTCTTCAAGTGCGAGGCCTGGACGGCGCCGGAGCCGGGTAGGGGTCACGCTCCTGGACCAACCGCCCCCCCCCCACACCTGCCCCTGCCTCGCACCCAGGGCAGCTGAGAGGCGACTCCCTGCGTGCGGGGTGCTGACCGGACCCCCCGCCGCTCCAGGTCCCACGTACGACCTGACCTTCTGTGAGGTCAGGGACACCTCGCTGGTGCTGCTGTGGAAGGCCCCCGTGTACGCGGGCAGCAGCCCCGTGTCCGGCTACTTCGTGGACTACAAGGAGGAGGGCTCCGAGGAATGGACCACCGTCAGCGAGGCGCCCACGGCCCATCGCTACTTAAAGGTGGGGCACCCTTCCCGGCCATTGCCTCTGGGGGTAGAGGGCCGGTCCCCGTGGCAGGCCCGCACCGGGCGGTGGGGACCACAGCATGTGCTGTGTTTCTGCCTGAGCGCGGCCTCGCCACCCGACAGCACTGAGTAGCGGCGGCCTCAGACTGTCTGTGCGGGCGCCATCCACGCCTTCCGCGGGGCATGGGTATGAATCACTCTCCCAGCCCGGCCCGCAGTGACTGTACTTAGCTCACAGGTGCTAGTAAAGTCTTTTAAAGGAAATATGCTTTATTGATGTCAGAGAGGAAGGGAGAGGGAGAGAGAAGCATCAATGATGAGAGAGAATCATGGATTGGCTGCCTCCTGCACACCCCACACTGGGGATTGAGCCCACAACCCGGGCCTGTGCTCTGACCGGGAGTGTGTGCACGTACAGACACAACCAATTGAGCCACACGAGCCAGGGCTGCTATGTATATTTTTAAAAGAATCAGTGTAAAGATACATTTTCCAGACAATGTATAATAAGCTTTACTCTGAAACAATTTTATTTAAAATATATTGTGTTTAGAACATCTACAAATATAGAACATCTCCTGGCTCGCGGCCCGGCTGTGACGTTCTGTTTGGGTCGGGCTCGGGGGTGTGACTGACAGGAAGCGACGTGTCTGCCCTCAGAGACAGGCCACATCCGCACTGGGCACACGGCGGCACCCCAGGGCGTGTGGCGGCATGGCAGCCACTTCCAGAAAGCTGTCGACGATATGAAACAACGTCCTTCCCTTTGAATGAATAAAGCAGCTTCTACGAGCTTTTAAAGGAAATATGCTTTATTGATGTCAGAGAGGAAGGGAGAGGGAGAGAGAAGCATCAATGATGAGAGAGAATCATGGATTGGCTGCCTCCTGCACACCCCACACTGGGGATTGAGCCCACAACCCGGGCCTGTGCTCTGACCGGGAGTGTGTGCACGTACAGACACACACACACGCACACATCCTTACAGGTTTACAGCTGGCAGGATTGGGAGGGGACAGTGCCCTGTCCTCCCTCCAGATTCCTCTCTTTTAGCCCCTCCACTGGCCGGTGGCCGGGGTCATGTGACAGCCGCCCTGAGACCCGTCCCTGGCTCGCGGCCCGGCTGCGACGTTCTGTTTGGGTCGGGCTCAGGGGTGTGACTGACAGGAAGCGACGTGTCCGCCCTCAGAGACAGGCCACATCCGCACTGGGCACACGGCGGCACCCCAGGGCGTGTGGCGGGCATGGCAACCACTTCCGGAAAGCCGTCGACGATATGAAACAACGTCCTTCCCTTTGAATGAATAAAGCAGCTTCTACGAGTCTAGTTACGCCAGTTCGTCGGGAGTTTAGCAAATACACACTTACTTGTGGTTACCAATGCGATCACAGCGCCCATGGCGAACATCGGTGACACAGGAGGTGGACCCAACTGTGGTGGCGCCAAAGGGTGGGGCATTGTGCATGGAAAAAACTCACCTTCAAAATTCTGTTAGCCCCACAGAATTGTGTAAAATGACTCTACTCACCAGATTAGAAACTAGATGGTATGATTTCAATTCTGCTTGAAACTATGCAAAGAGAAAAGAAAGAGGACGCATCCGAATCGTCACAAATTGCCCTGCCGGGCGGCTCCCTTGGTCGGAGCATCCTCCTCCCCCCGCCCGCCCCCCATACCCCAAAAGGTCACGACTTCCATTCCAGGTCAGGCACACGCCTGGGGTGGTGGGTTCGATCCCTCGTCGGGCGCCAACAGAAAGCGATAGGTTGATGTTTCTCTCTCTGTCTCTCCCCCTTTCTCTTTCTCTGAAATCAATAGAAACATTACCCTCAGGTGAGGATTTAAAAGAAAATTGTCGCCAGCCTGTGTGTTCCTGCAGTCAGGCCGCGGGTGGGAGTCTGACTGTGCAGCTGCGGGAGCCGACGGCACAGTGACTCCAACTGGAGGAGTGCGATTCTTTTAAAATGGAGACATTTTATTGATTTCAGGGAGGAAGGGAGAGGGCCGCGGGTGGGAGTCTGACTGTGCAGCTGCGGGAGCCGACGGCACAGTGACTCCAACTGGAGGAGTGCGATTCTTTTAAAACAGAGACATTTTATTGATTTCAGGGAGGAAGGGAGCGGGAGAGAGAGAGAAACATCAATGATTGAGAATCATGGATCGCTGCCTCCTGCACCCTCCACACTGGGGATCGAGCCCACAGCCCGGGCATGTGCCCTGACCGGGAATTGAACCCTGACCTCCTGGTTCCTGGGTTGATGCTCAACCAGGGAGCCACACTGGCCGGGCAGGAACACATTTCTTTATTTTTTGAAAAGAAAGCATATTCCTTACAAACTGAAAAATAACCAAGTTCCCTCCATTTCTCTCTCTCGTGGCGTTTCCCCCGCCACCTCCAGGTGTGTGACCTTCACCAGGGTCAGAGCTACGTCTTCCGCGTGCGGGCAGCGAATGCCAGTGGCGTGGGGAAGCCGTCGGACCCGTCGGAGCCAGTGCTCCTGGAGGCCAGGCCGGGTGAGCTGGGACGGTCG